GGTTTAGTCGCACGTAATCCGTGTGTACTTTACGTGTGTGTACCACGTGATACCGGTACTCAGTGACCCACGTACAGACGTTTTCTGATTCACGACATACCGTGTATGGAGGCTCACCCACGTTCCGCCAGGACGTGGGCGAAAATCAGAATGGAGCGCATTGTGCGAGCTGTGAGGGTGCTCAGCTGAAGAAGTTTCCGAAGCACGAAATCAAAATATTGGATGAGCTCCTTAGGCCCGGGTAGCTTCGTCCACGTACGCGTTTCCGTTACGTGGGAACTAAACCTCCCTAGCATCCATAGATGGATACTAGGGATTCTAAAGCAAAAGTAAAGTTTGTCTTGTTGTTTTGAATGCTTTCACAATGAGACACCATTGCCATTGGACACAGCAAAACAACACGACAATGCCCATCCACAAATGACAGATCCTGAAAGGATAGACGGTATTTCACTGTTCGGTACGAATCTAGTCCAACCATTCGTAACACACACACACACACACACACACACACGTTGACACACACACAGGCATGCACACGTGCACACGTGCACACACACACACACACACACACGTACACACGTACACACACACACATACACACACACACATACACACACACACACACACACACACACACCGGCGTGCACACACATGCACACACATGCACTGTGAAGATCACTTACACGTCTCAGCTGCATCCAGTACCTCGGACAGAACGTCCAGCTGTGTCTTCGGTTTCAATGTGTCTATACTGAGCAGGCCTGGGGAGATCATCTGTGACGGAGAGTGTTGCGCTGAAAACACACACACGCATACACACACACACACACACACACACACACACACACACACACACACACAAACAGGGTTCTAGTCAAAGGAGGGTTTGGGGGGGGGGCAGCGTCCCCCCCCCCCCCAACCCTGATTGGGCGCCCTCCTGTGAAAAAGTGGCGCCCTCCTACTCATTTTCCGACTTTTGTTGTTTTCTTCCAAGTTTCCATGCCATTCAACGAAAATGCAGTCGATAGCCACTAACAGAGGGTTCATAAAGGCCCACTGGTCTGAGGTGAAGGCAGAGAGTAAGTTGCACTTTGGGTGGCAAGGCAATTTTGGAAAATGGAAAAAATGGGTTACAGGGCCGCTTTTTCCCCTGCCCGCCATGCCGCCGCCTCCCCCCCCCCCCCCCCCTGTACCTGGCTAGAGGCCTCAGCCCCGCAGGAGTGTGCACATAACCACTGACGCATGTACCTTAGGCAGCCATCGTTACGTAGAAGATGATGAAAGCGGCTTGTGTTGCTTTGACAGGCGCTGTGCAACTACCTGCGCAGCCTCTATGCAATGCTGCAACGGCAGAACTTCACATCTCTTGACCGGGTTCAAAAGGTATGAGCCAGGTTTACACCACACGGCCGTAGAATTACCTTCTTGTACTTGTACATGTACCATGTACCATGTACCATGTATACGCCCGTCGCAAGAGAAGCACGCAAATATGCAAATGCACCGGATGTGCACCCACAGATTTTCTCTTTATAGCGACTATATCGGATCTGATTCTGATTGAAACAGATCAAGACAAGCGCCAGATAACTGTCTAGTCCACACAACTGGCAAAGCCACATGTTTACACTTTAACACACACACACACACCCTGTACATATGCACACATACACACACGCGCGCGCACAAACACACGCAACACGACAATGCACATATCAGCTTACCCAGCACGGACACAGTCAGGAGGCTCCCAGACTGGACTTCAACCTTGACAGCAGCTGTGACACCATTCACCACAAGAGCTGCGCCGTCAAACGCAATGTAGTCGTGCTTCTGTGAAGCAATGTTGCTCGTGATGTCCATGCCATTCTGAAGGAGAACTTGAAGTTTCCCACTCATTGCGGATACGTGAATTGTCACTGTTTGGTTTACCGGTCCTAGTGCACGGTACAGAAACGCATGCACATACACATACATACATACACACACACGCACACACACGCATGCACACACACACACAACTCTAACGAGTTAACGAGGAGAAATCTGTCGTTAAAATAGAAATCGTTAGCCAGAAATTGATACAATACTGTTGCTATTGAGCGTTGAGAATTAGTGAGAATCGTTACCTTGGTACACGTAAACCAGTCAATTTTAGTAAATCGTTATAATAATATATGCGCCTCGTTAGAATAATGGCTTTTACAGTACAGTAAATTCTGCGCTAATTCTGCAAATCTTTCTATATTCTGCAAGGAAAATGAGCGTAAACCAGATCGAATTTCTGCAACCCCACAGAAGTTTGTTGTCCCTATAAATTCTGAACCAAAAGTATGCAAAATCCTGGTCAAAAAAATTGAAAGCTCCAAAATATACTGCAAGTTGATTTTGAAAGTCACAAGCAGGTTGGTTTTGCTGTGGTAATACGCCGAAAGTCTCCAGAAAAAGCAGTTTTTCTCTCTTTTGTGCAATATTCCGCAGGATTTTCTGAAATCTG